ATACTCGTTTTAATTTAGCCGAGGTCGACCTATGATGGTTCTGAGGTCGACCTATGAAGGCAGAAGTGCGAGTTATTGTCCCATTGTCTTTGAATTTGTGCGAAACTAACACAGGTCGACCTCTTCAAATTATGAGGTCGACCGGATCTGTTTTGCACTCAATTGGTCCCATCATTTGGGCCATTTTATACTCGTTTTAATTTAGCCGAGGTCGACCTATGATGGTTCTGAGGTCGACCTATGAAGGCAGAAGTGCGAGTTATTGTCCCATTGTCTTTGAAATTGTGCGAAACTAACACAGGTCGACCTCTTCTAATTATGAGGTCGACCGGATCTGTTTTGCACTCAATTGGTACCATCATTTGGGCCATTTTATACTCGTTTCAATTTAGCCGCGGTCGACCTCTTCTAATTATGAGGTCGACCGGATCTGTTTTGCACTCAATTGGTACCATCATTTGGGCCATTTTATACTCGTTTCAATTTAGCCGATGTCGACCTATGATGGTTCTGAGGTCGACCTATGAAAGCAATTTTGTACTTGAATTGTTACGGGTTTATATCGACCCATTCTCGTTTTAAATTAGCTGAGGTCGACCTATGCTTCTTCGGAGGTCGACCTGTTCTCATTTTAAACTAACTGAGGTTGACCGGTGATTCTTCTGAGGTCGACCCATTGTCGTTTTAAATTAATTGTGGTCGACCGCTTTATGGAGTGGTCGACCGCGTATTGTTCATTTCGAAAATTGGACTAATGTGTATTCTTGCTTGTTTGATCGCAGGATGTTTGGCGGCAAAAAGAAAAGAAAGGCACAAAAAGCTGCTGCCTCAAGTTCGGAATGGGAAGAGTTCAATTCGAATCTGTTCCAGACGAAGGAGCAAAGTGAGAACTACCAAGAGAAGAGCATGCACAACCGTAGGGTGGCTCCGGGAAGGCCATTGACGACGGATGCGTATTCTCATTTCGAGAATTACGGGTTTCTGGGACCCTTCATCGAGAAGGAGTGGTTGAAGGTGATATCACTCAATGTACCATACTACCCAAAAATGGTACAATACTTCTACAACAACATCTCCTACGAGCGCAATGCAAATGGATCCATTCACGCATTCAAATCCTATGTGAATGGGGTGGCGATGCGCATCAGCAAGAATGTGTTGGCGCAAGTACTGGAGGCTCCAAACGATGGGAGGAGAATCAATTCTTACGGTGCTTGGAATGAAACGCATTTCACGAGAGCCAAGCAAATCCAGACGGTATGTGGTCTTGATGAAGAGGAAGATGCTCAGGAGCGCAATAGGCCATCGAGTAACCACTTGACAGTTCAAGCCAGAGTTCTTCACCACATGCTCTCCTACAACATTCTGCCAAAGGGTGGACATCGGGAGACAGTCACCTACTTCGACATGGAGCTCCTCACCAACCTACTGTTAAACGAGAAGGTGAACTTGCCATACTTGATCTTTAACCACATGCTTACTGCTGCGGAGAGTTCAAACAGGAATCTTCCCTATGGGATGATCCTCACTGTGATATTTGAGCATTTTAATGTGAATTTAAGTGAAGAGGTGGGGTTAAGGATCTCAAGGCAGGAGTTCTATACTGTTTCATCTCTGAAAAAGATGGGCTTTGAGCTGCGTAATGGTGAGTATGTCAGAGCAAACATGGCTCATGGTGGTGCTGGTGATGATGATGATGATGATGAGGATGATGATGGTGATGAAGGAGCTCGAGACGAGCCAATGGGGGAGGCACAGACTTCAACTCCACCGATCACCTTACAGCGTGTGTGGGAGCGCATGGATGGCATGTACGAGTACATGGGCCAGATGTCCACCTTGATGACTGGCATGTACGACTACATGGGGCAAATGACCGCCCAGATGAGCACAATGCAGGTGACCGTGAATGAGATGCGAGATGAGTGGCGATCTTTCAGCGGAAGATACATGCATCCCACCACATCCGACCACCATGCTACCACCACCAATGAAGAAAATGAAGAAAATGTGGATGAGGGAGAGGGGGGAGATGAGTAGTTTTTAGTTTTATTTTTTTAGTTTTATTTTTATGTTATTTTTTTAGTTTTATTTTTATGTGTGAACAATTATGCTATGATGGTTTTTTTAGTTTTATTTTTATGTGTGAACAATTATGCTATTTTTATGTGTGTTTTATTTTTAGTTGTTATGCTATGGATTGATGAGTCCTTGTTATAATTGACTAATTATGATGGTTTGAAACATAATTTATACGATTAAATTAACCACACAAATCGACATACATAAGCAAAAAAGACACGGGGCATAGGTTGACTTTCTTGTATTCGGTCGACCTCGTACCGGATTAGGTCGACCGAGAAACCAACACTTGATCTCCATTTTACGTCAAATGATTGGACACTTTGATAGAACACTTATCTTCTATCTGGTCGACCTCTTTCCTTATCCGGTCGACCATTTTGTTAATGACTGTCATCAAGTGGTCGACCTATATATTAGGTGGTCGACCATGTTGTTTCTGACGCCAACGAAATGGCCGACCGAGGTTTTATTCTGGTCGACCAAAAATACCAACTTAAACTAAATGCGGTCGACCGGGTGGTCGTGGCGGTCGACCGCAACGCTTTCTCGTGCTGCCCAAATTGGTCAATTCGGTCGACCGCCCTCAGGAATAGGTCGACCGAAAAGTGCATGTCACCGTGACATGCATGTCATAGTAGGCATACCCAACATTTTTTCCTCCCTAAATATATAAAAATGGGTATCATCTTGTAAAGTTTAACCAATTTAATTTTTTATATAGAAAATTAAAATTCGAGTTAAAACGAATTAGATATGATCAATTAAAGTTACTCACACTAATATATGGAGTTGATCTCTGCTCAATCCCAATTCTATTGGGTCTCCATCATGTTAATTTATATTTTAATTGAACCTCATTATAATAATATTAATAATAATATTTTAATATTTTAATTCTTAGTTCAATCGGAAACCCCCTTTTAGTAGTAGAATTTTTTTTACCACGTTTTTTTTTTTGGTAAAAGAAAGGGCGACAGATCGCCCAAGAACTAAGGGGGATGAGTTTGGGAGATTGACTCCCTACAAGGTCGAAGAGCAGCCAGTGCCGCAGTCGGTGGTCGGGAACCAGAATCGGATGAGTCCCGACTTGAAGCTCATGTCCTGTCGAAGCCAAGAAATCCGCCACCACGTTGCCTTCTCTATAAATGTGCTCGATCCTCACCTCCCAGCTGCGTTGCATCATTCCCCGCACCTTTTTACCACGTTTTCTTGTAAGACAAAAATATATAAATTCCATTTAAATTTATTCATTAGTATAATTAATAAAGTATTCTGTTTGAGATTTTATCAATTAAAATGACAAAAATGTCCCTCCTAAATTCACTCAGAAGGCTCGAAATTTACAATGAGCTATGTTCTCATGGAGAACCTCTATATATTAGTGTTAGGATAGGAGGATTAGGATACCACACAAATACGAAGAGTTTACCAACTACTCTTCCATCTAAGAATCATAACATATAGGATCTAACGTGTTACTCTACTACAAAAATAATTCCCCTCACATAGGGAGTTACTAATTAACGCCCTAAATTTTTAAAATTTATCGCCCTAATTTTGCAATTAGACGTTTTTGCCACGCACTTTTATTCCCAGTCTCTAACAAATATTCGCCCTAGAATTCTTCACAGTCACCGCCGTTCGTCTGGGAGTCACCGTTGCCGCCACAAGTGCCTTCCGCTGCGCTGCTCAACCTAGGGATTCCTCGAGGTGGCCTTGTCGACGTCGCCATCGCCCTAATCCCATCTGGCCCAATCTCCACCGGCGGAATTGTGTCTCCGGTTGTTCTCTTCTCCACCTCCGTTGCTGTTCGGTCCTCCCCGTCGTCGCCGCCATGCCTGCTGGGTGCGCCGATCGGGTTCCATCATCTGCTACTGTCGAGCGATAATGAGGAGGAAGAAGTAACTGCTCAGTCCGACCCGCAGCAGAGCAACTCTTTTCTTCTTCGTCCTTGAGCGGCGCAACAGCGGAGGAGAATTTCACCGGCAACGTGCTGAGGGATTTGGGGGCAACAAGCAGAGCCAAGCTAGGGGGGAATCTTCCGCCGGCGACGACGAGCATAGGGCGTGGGAGGGGCGACAAGCAGAGACAAGCTGGGGATTAGGGCGATGGACTGGGGGCGTGGGTGAGGAATCTTCAGCCGGCGACGAGCAGCGGGCTTGGGAGGGACGATGAGCAGATCCAAGCTAGGGATTAGGGCGAATAGATTGAGGGCGTCCGTTTGGGGGTACTTTGGTCTGTTTGGTAATTTAGGGCGAAACTTTTTAAAAAGTTAGGGCGTTAAATAGGAATCCAGAATTAAAATTACTTTAATCCTTTTTCTTAACATCAAAATGAATTTTTGATTTCCTTGACAAAGAAATTACATGACTGAAAACATCTAAAAAACAAAATCGAGCCCAACTAAAAAAGTAAACGTAAAAAAAAATCGTACCACCAAATGATCAACCTCTATTACAATTACATCCAACAAATCGAGCACCAAATTGTCTAAAAGCATCACACAAAGTCAAGATTTCCTAGAGTAACATCCCACCGCGCTACCCCCTTCATGATTTTGTCAATAACAACCTTCCCTTCTCCAACAAAGATACCAGACGGTATAAAAGAAACAACAAGATATCAAACAATAACAAGAATGCAATAATAATAATTAATACGAGTAAAAAGAATCTCAACGGAGTACAGAAACAAAATGTAAGAGAAGAAAACCGAATTTGGAAAAAAGCCTACTCATTCTGTTAATATTCTTTTCCCCCCCTCAAATCCGACTAATATCCACTTCTCCAAGATCTCCGACCCAACAGAAAAGAATAAAAAAAAAAAACCTCTTTCCCGTTTCTCCCTCGTCCCCCTCAAACCCTACACCATATATATTACACTTTCCCCCCTCACTTCATTGTCCGTCAATCACAATGAAGAAACTCGACCAAGACGATGACGTCAGCCTCACCCTCGCCCTCTCCTTACCACCACCGCTCCCTCCTCCTCCTCCTCCTCCGCCCACCGACCCCGCCCTCCCTCCACCGCCCGCCTCCGCCCGGTCGCGGCAGCCGCGGAGCCGGCCCAACAAGAAAAACAAGACCGACGTGGTGGAGCCGCCGTACCCGTGGGCCACATCCACGCGGGCCAAGGTCCACACGCTGGCCCACCTCCTGGCCCACAACGTAACGACCGTGACGGGGGAAATGCGGTGCAAGAGCTGCGAGGCCACGTACGACATCTCGTACGACCTGAGGGAGAAGTTCGTGGAGCTGGGGACCTACATCGTGGACCACATGGGCTCGATGCACCACCGGGCCCCCGAGCGGTGGAAGCGGCCCGCCCTGGCCCGGTGCGAGCGGTGCGGGCTCGCGGGCAGCGCGAGGCCCGTGGTGGCGGCCCGGAAGAAGCGGATCAACTGGCTGTTTTTGTTGCTGGGGGAGTTTTTGGGCTTCTTGACGCTTGAGCAGTTGAGGTATTTCTGTAGGCACGCTGGGGTGCATCGGACGGGTGCCAAGGACCGGTTGTTGTATTTGACTTATTTGGGGATCTGTAGGCAGTTGGATCCTCATGGACCGTTTGGATCGACGAATAACAATTGATCACTAACGATTTTTCGTGAAACAGATGGAAATCATGGATTTTGTGATGTTTTAAGTGAATTGGGATTTGATTCGATTGTCCGCGAGACGGTACGTGAATGGGTAGATTGGTGGCGTTGCGATGAAACTTTTTTCGTTACAGAAGTTACGTATCAATCATGTCTTTGAATCGTTAAGAGTATTTGTACGGATTGGATGAGTTCGTTAAACAAAACAAAAAATAGCTCTTTCCATTTTCGGGTTGGACCGTGTGAACTTTATTTATCTATTATTTTGATTTGTTGGTAAGTATCAATGTATAGATAAGATCATAAGAAGATATAATGCAATAGAACTTTGAAAACGTTCTATTTAGTTCCCATTGGACTAACATTGAGTAGTATTTGGATCTGATACAACGACATTATGGGAATAAGTGGTTATGTAACAAAGTAACTTTGCAGTAGAGGATGGAGGTGATGGAGTGGGTGTTGAATAAACACTCGAAGAAAATAAAACCATGTAAATCATGTGTCCTGATAGTGTTTTCTATAATGTGAGGTCGTGACTTTTATGATTATTCTTTGAAACAATTTCATGGTCACATCATCGTAAGTTATGACCGTGATTTTTGGGAGAGCTCATATCGTTACAGTTGGGGAAATTCCTCATGGGACTTCCAACCCAACGTAACAAAACACTCGTTGCATTTTCTAGTCAAATGCACCTATTTCTTCAAACTGTTGTGTTAGTTTCGTTTTGTACTTATAATGAATGTTTGTATGAGGTTTTAAAACAATCTTTGTGTGTGATGTGCTTATTGTAATTAGGGCTGTCAATTTGGTTTGGTTTGGTTAACCAAACCATTAAGTATGAAAAGCCAAATCCCAAAACCCAAAACCAAAACCATTAAGGTCCTTATTGGTTTTTGGTTGCCAAAAACCAATAAGGGCCTTAATGGTTTTGGTTTTGGTTTGGATAACCGAAAAACCAACATGTACTCATACACTCATATTTATTCCTATTTTCCTTCTTTTTATTGAATAATGTCATAATAATGGTAAATGGCCATAACAAATTATTGGTTGGCATGCATGATTGCATGTCAAAAGAAACAAAAACAAAAACAAAAATTGTTGGTAAATAATTTTATTCTTATTGGTTTCTTAATGGTTTCTATTGGTTTTTCGGTTTTAACCAAACCAAAACCATTAAGTTGCTTATTGGTTTAAAACAAAAAAACTGAAACCATTAGCTTTCCAATTGGTTTGGTTTCTGTTAAAATCAAAAAACCAAAACCAAATGGACAGCCCTAATTGTAATCCACATTTTGCCTGGATAATGTTTGTTGTAAAAATGAATATTAATGTGGGTGCCAGATTTGTTTGGAAATTAAAACCTTTCTTTCTCGTACAACAAAACACGGATTCACCGGAGGAATGCCCCCACGATTAGTTGGCACCACATAAAATGTTTGTGACACGATACTACTTTTGTGCGAAATTATCTAACGATAGTTATAATCAACAAGTAGTCACTTCTATGTCACCAAACACAAGTACTATCAATGAATCAGTCACATATCAAAATGCATGTAAATATAACAAGTACCAAACACACGTATTATATGACTCATTTAATCATCACATATCAAATTGCATGTAAATATATCACCAAACACAAGTACTATCAATGAATCAGTGTAGAGGACAATACGACACATTTTTGAGCTATTCTTTAGCGAGTTCTATAGTTCTCTCTACCTGATCAACGCTTACTTGTTTGTAAACTAGTATCCAAAATTGTACGGCTCTATAAAATTTGCATGAAAAATTGAATGGGAAGGTTATTAAAACTGGTAGTGTTTAGCGACCTTTGAAAAACAACTTAAGAATATGCATTATATTTCTAGGGCAAAATACACTTCTATATCCATAACTTTCACATTTGTGACAAATATATCCATAACTATCGAAATACACGAAATACCCAGAAAAACGTACTATCGTGTGACAAATCTATCCATTTCCGTTAGTAAATGTGACGGAACGCTGACTAGGACCATACCCATCCCACACCTAAGCTCCAGGTCAGAAAATTTGACATGTGGATGTGGACGACATGTCAGCAAAAAATAAAAAATAAAAAATAAAAAATTCTCTCCGCCACATTGATTTCTTCTCTCTCCCGTGGCTCCAGCCTCCATAGCTCGCCAAACACAGTAGCTGATCGGAAAAAACCCCATCTTTAGAAAACGCCGACGATAAAGAAGAAGAATCAGGTAATAATAGTTCTGGAACCTAATAAAATCAGATCCCCATTACTCCTCCTAAACTTAATAATTAGATCCCCCATTACTCATCTTAAACCTAATAATAGTTGTGGAAAGAAACTTGAATCTCGAAAAACTGAAATCAAATCAACCAAAGGAAAATAGGAGGATGAGTTTTTGGGTGAAAAAATGTACCAGACGAATTGTCGTCCCTGTGCTTCTGAGATTTCCAGTCGCAAACCAGATCCTTCCCCCTGCAGCCCGTACCCAACCTCGAAGAGTAGCATTCAACATCAAACAAAAGGAGGAAAGAGAAAAATTGGGTTCTGGGGATTTTGAGAAGTTGGCTCTTCCCTTGCCAACTGCTACCACTGAGAAGAAGCTTATTAGGCAAAAGAGATCTGGATCCGCAACCGCCAGCGGAAGCTCTTCACCACATCAGTTTCGAGCATCTATTGAACTTCAAAATCATGGGTCTGGACTTCGATTGCTTGTACGATTTGACGGGGCATAGAAAGAAGAATTAGAAATGGTTTAGGGGGCGATATGCTTTCTGGGAATTTCATGGGCGATGCTTGCTGCCAGATTCCCGATGTCGCCTAGAGCTCGCCTGGCGGGTTGACCGACAGTTATGAATCCGGGTTGAAGGTTGGGAGAGAGATTGACGGGGGATTCAAAGAAGGGGGGGGGGGGAGATTGAAGGTTGGGACTGAGATGCAGAGAAGAAGAAGGGTAGATCAGAGGTTGGAAGAGAGATTGATGGGGAGATTCATAGAAGAAGGGAGAAGATGGGAGGTCGCTCTTTCGGGAGGAGTAGCGGCGGGGAAGGGAAGAAAAGAGTTTAGTCTCGTCTCTTTCTCTTTCTGTTTTTGTTTTTGTATTTTAATTTTTGATATTTTTTTTCTTTATAATCCACTCCATTTGGTGGGGTAAATCAATCGCCAACTCAGCTTCTACCGTTAGTCTAGTTATACCGTCAACTGATGTCGTTAACAAAATGGACGGAATTGGGTATTTCATGTATTTCGATAGTTATGGATATATTTGTCACAAACATGAAAGTTATGGATATACAAGTGTATTTTGCCTATTTCTAGTACCAAGTTAATCTATTTAGAATCACCTCTTTTACGAAAAAAGTTGAAATCACTCTGTAATATCTTCTAGTCCTTCTTCATTTTTATATCTCTCTATAAATTTTCCAAAAAATTTAACTTCTTTTAATTGATGAAGCCGACATTTACGAACACCAATTTTATGACACAATTTCTTAGTAATTATATTCCTTTGCATAAATATTTAGGGTGACACTTCAATAACAAACCATCCATGAAAGCGTCGTTCTCCTCATCCAGTCTGTCGCATCCACTTAGGGATGGCAACAAAACTCGAACCCACGACTACCCTCCCGACCCAACTCGGTCAACGCGGGTAAAATCCGTGTTAAAGGGTTTTGGGTCGGGTTTGGATTTAAAACCGCTATACTATTCACCGGGTTGGATTTGGGTTTAGGTATACCCGTCCCATGGGTACCCGCCCACACCTATATAATTACTTTCTCGGTATATTTAATATTGTAATCAATATATCTTCCTTAAACAACTATTTTTTTTTTATGTTTGTAGAGACATGTATAATTTGGTCTTTCTAATTGTCTAGAATGAAGTTGATATTATGGAGTGGAGAGTGAAGTTTAGTTGACAAGGAGGAAGAAGTTTTCAATTAATAATGTTGATTATAGATGTTTATATTTAATTTTGTACAATTTGTATTGATAATTTGCGGTTTGCTTGTTTGCTCTAGATTGGTGTTTTTTGTGTAGATAATTTGTATGAGAAAATTTATGTTGAACTTTTATTTTGAAAGAAACTTGTTATTGTAAATTTTTTACCACAAATGAACCCGCGGATACCCAGCGGGTTGGGTTGGGTTTGAGTTTTTCAAACCCAACGGATTTTACCCCGGATGTTTTTGGCGGATAAACCCATGAGTTTGACAATACCTGACCCATTGCCATAATTTGATACTATATTTATATATTTTCGGTCAAATATTGAAAAATCATTCTTTTATAAAAAAATATATTGAACATATATATGGAACATTTAAGGTTTCTATTATATTTCAAATTTATTAATACTTGCATTAGTTTTTGTTGCTATTAATTCAGACTTTTTGTTAATTTTATATGGAGGGGGTACATGATTAATAAAGTCATGGAGATAGTATGAGCATCGAGTTGTATTTAAAAATAAATAGTATCAGTAAAGAAAATTTGATTTTGAATTTTGGTTCTAGGAAAAGTTGGTACAAGTGTGAATCAATAATAAAGAGGACGTAAATATGGTTTATGGCAAATAAATATTATCGAATTTTAGATGCAAGGAAGGGATGTTAATTTCGATATGAATCGTTTTACCTAACCTTTTGATCTGTTATGAACGGGTATAAGACCAACTCCAATGCAAGCCCCCAAATTTGGGGATCTTCATCCCCAAATTTGGGGTGCATCCCCATTTTCCCTTCTTTTGCTCCAATGCTACATCTTCTATATTTGGAGATTTCCATTTTTTCAGTTTTCCATTTACTTAAAAATGTACTTATCGAAGCCTTAATATAATTTGTTCATGTTAATTTTTGTATAGTTCGTCAGCATTTTTAAATACAAATTTTCTGGTAGAATTTTATTTAATTTTGAGACCAAATTTTTGTTGACAAAAAATGATTGACCTAATTTGGATTTACACAC